CAACTTGAAACCATTGCTCTTTATTCTGTCCTCTGCCACCACTGAGAACAGTCCAGCTCCATCCTCTTTGAAATCAGCCTTCAGGTAGCTGAAGGCTGCTATTAAATCCTCCCTCAGTCTTCTCTTCCGCAGACTAAGTCAGTCCAGTTCCCCCAGCTTCTCCTCGGAAGTCATGTGCCCCCAGCCCCTTAACCATTTTCGCTGCCTTCCGCTGGACTCTCTCCAATTTGTCCACATCCTTTCTATAGTGGGGGACCCAAAACTGAACACAGTACTCCAGGTGTGGCCTCACCAGTGCTGAATAGAGGGGAATAATGACTTCCCTCAATCTGCTAACGATACTCCCACTAATGCAGCTGAGGGACTCTGATTTAACTTAAACCAGGAAGGAGTCTGAGATAGAAGTTTCATAAACTGGTTTGGCCCAAATCAATCAAACCTCATCAGGGAGGCCAGGGAACATGGTTGATGAGGAAATGGAACTCCTCCTACCTACAGGTAGTTCCTCCAAGCTCATGGTTTGAGCATAGAGGCATGTAGTATTGGAGGATCTGGCAATGCCTACTGCCCTGCTTCTGTTTGGGAAAAAGGGAGCTTTTCCCAAATGTCAGACACGTGCATTCAAACACATCACAGATGTGTTAACTAGAGGTTAATCTGGCACATTACGTTCAAGAGCAGATAAAGCACTTGTTGGTATAAAAGCTGTGGATGCCAGGAAGAGTTGATCCAGCCGGTGTTAAAAGTTAGTACCAGCACAGTGTCACTAGGTGGTAGTGTTGCTTCACATTCTTACCCGTGAAAAAAATGCTGCACCCTTACAGTGACAGGAAACCAATTTATTTTAATGTGGGTTGTCTGGTTTCATCTGCAATCCCACAATGTGCAACAAAGGTAAAAACCAATGTATGTGAAAAGCATGAAATAAAAACCCACACTCCCCACAACAAGCTCTCTGATTCTCTCACAGAAAAAAGAGAAACCAAACATTTTAGTAGGAAAGGAAACTGTAATTACCTCACCACGTAGGATTTCAAGAAACATAGGCTTTGCCATATGGAATGAAGCACACCAGTATAAATAGACTTTTTTAGGATTGAAAGAAATCGTGGGTCAAGGAAATTTATTTACCTTGTTATCTTGAATTCTATCTTCTGAAAAAGACATGACTAAATCCCTAGGTTTATACCCTAAAGCAGTGGTTCTCAACCTTTTTTGTACCAGGGCTAATTTGCAAAGATTGATGGCTTGTCCTGATCCAAACCCCCTGGCCCTGCCAGTTCCCAACCCACAGTGTCCCATGCCACCCTGCCCTGCCCTGCCCCAGGCTTGGTGCCTGGCTACCCAGCCACCTTCCCCCAGAGTGGCAGGAACCTGGCCCCCCTCTCTGCTATACACTCATCCCTTCCACACGCGCACACACACATGCGCACACTGCCCCCCTGCCCACCCTGACAGTCCCCAAGCCCTGGTCCTCCAACTCCTGCTCCACATACACTTACCTTCATCTGGCTCCCAGAGCCTGCCTGGCTGCGTGCTGGAACACTGCCAGCCTGCAAGGGGAAACCCTTGTTTTTACATGCTTTCCTGGGACTTGCAAGTTACGATGTTTTGATTTAAGGTGTGGTTTTCAGGAATCAATTGTGTTGTAAGTCTGAGGACTGCCTGTACACCTTAATCTGCCTCTGCTCAAAAAGCAAGTTTTCTACAAGACACCACAGACTTCTTCAACAGAATCCAGATCAACAAACACGTCCCTGAGGGGGCACAGCTGCCTTCCTGAAATACTTTCCAGACCATGGAGTGGACTCAGATGTGCAATAATATACTGCAGAAATCATCCACTTCCCCCTGGCTCACAACAACTTCACTTTCAACAATTGTCACTTCCTTCAAACCATGGACACAGTTATGGTACAAAAATGACCCTCCCATATGCCAACCTTTTCATAAGCCGCTTGAGGAAAACAATCTAGAAAACTGCACCGACTACACTATAACTCTGTTAGATGGTATTTTCATTATCTAGACTCACGTATTAACTTCCACTCACCACTTTAACAACCATCATCCCTCAGTTTGCACTTTAACAATCATTATCCCTCAATCAAACATTCTGTGCAATACTTCTACACTAACATCAGTTTTCTAGGTACTGCAGTCCATATCCAGGATGGTACCCTATAAAGCACTATATACAGAAAATCCACAGACCACCGTAACTATGCCCATAAGATCAGCAATCATCCCAAACACACCAAAAAAGCTGTTATCTACAGCCAGGGCCTCAGATATCACCGCATCTGCTCTGAGAACACTTGTGATGCGCACCGACCAGCCTAAAATCTTCCTTCATAAAACAAGGACACCTCAACAAAGAGACAGGCCATACATTTGAAAGAGCTATCCAGATACCCCACAGTAATCTGCTATAATACAGAAAGAAAACCCTCTGCAACCACACACCCCGGTCACCTCCACCCCACACTGAAACCAATCAGAAGAATCACCAGACATCTACAGCCATACTCAACAAAGATCAGACCTTGAGAGAAATATTCCCAGTCTCTCTGCTCCTGGCTTTCAAACAGCACCTGGCCCTGCCCAACTTATCGTGAGAAGCAAATTCTCCACTGCCGGACAGACATCAAGTGGAATGCAGCCTTGCCTTGGCAAGAAATGCTTAACTTGTCAGCACATCTCCACTGCCATTACTCCCCACTCCACACACGGCAGATAAAAATCCCATCAGGATCCGTGGTTTCTATACAAGCTTTTCCCAACATGTGATAAACCTGGTCCAATGCACCAAGTGCTCGCTTGGTAATATGAGTGAAATTAAACAACAACTACACACCAGAATGAACTGTCACAGAAAACAGAGGACAGTCACACACATCATTAGAAGTACATTTCTCACAGAATAACTCCCTCTCTGACTTCACTATCTACCTGCTCAAGTGAAATCTGTCTATCTATCTAAAAGGTGAATTTAGGAACACAAATTCATAAGCTAGCTGGACACAGAATCAAGGACTCTAAAAACTGATATCAGGTTTATGGGATTTATCTAATTTATCCACCTCCTGAAATTTTACCACACAAGGAAGGTGAGATTGACCCTCCTCCCTTTTGATACGCCTTGATCCTCCAGCAATCGTCATCTTTTCTTCTTTTAATTGTGTCTGCTGCCCCTGAGCATTTCTCAGCCCATCCCTTCTGCTGTGTTTCACTACACTGTGCCTGGCTTGCTGTGATCAAAGGCCTGGTAAAGAATGTCTTGCATTTGAAAGCTTATTTAACTGTATTTAAACTACATAGCTGGTCCAGTAAAGTTTATCACCCTAAGACAGGGGTGGGCAAAATACAGCCTATGGGCCAGATCCAGCCTGCCAAGGGATTTTATCCTGCCTGTAGTGGGTCCTTTGGCCCTGCCCAGCATAAGTGCATGGGACAGTTCAGGCCGTGGCATATGCAGTGGGTCCCCCCCCCAGGCACACAGTGGGGTGGGGTTGGTATGATAGCTGGACTCTGCTTTCTGGAACCCCCAGCTCCTTCTGGCTGCTACTGTCAATGTCACTGCTATTGCCAGACCCAGCCCTACTGCCTGGACACCCTGGCCTGTCCATCTCGCACCCACTGCTGGGGGTGGTAGATAGAGCGGGCAGGCATGATCTCAGTGGAGACTGGCCTGGGACCCACATGGGCAGGGCACACCTGACTGGGTGGATGGGATAGGGACACAGGAAGATGGGGAGTGGTATCTAGGAACAGGGCAGATGGGTAGGGCTGGGATCTTAGGGCAGTGACAGGGTGGAGCTGGGGCCTGGGGTAGGCACAATCCCCTGCCTGCACATCTCTGTGATGGATACTGGTTCTATGGGCAAGGATGTGCTGGGAGTGGATTATGGCTCTGCCCTGGGCCCTGGCCCCATGTTGTCATTGCCCCAGGATCCCAGCCCTGGCTACCCATCCTGCTCCCAGATGCCACTCCACACCCACCCACAGCCCCATCCTATCCATCTGGCCCAGCACGTCCTGGCCATAAGGTTCCTGCCCCTGGGCCAGGATCACTGGGTGGTTTCAGTTTGAGGCCAGGCCACTGGGCAGAGCCACTTAGGGAGATTTGGCAAACTGTTGCAGCGTAGGGGGCTGGGTGCTGACCCAGCCTGCAACAACTCACCAAAACTCCCTATATGGCACCTCCAGTCCAAATAACTGCCCACCCCTGCCTTAAGAAATTCCTGCCTGACTCACTGAATAAAATTTTAGCTTTCTTATTGGTTGCTAAACACTAGGTGGTGTTATTGGTTCATATCTTGCACACAATTGAAAAAAACTCAACATTTTTTTCTTTCCACCTCAACTTCAGGAACTCATTAAGGCAAGAAACCAGTGCTTTTGAATATGGTTTATTTGGTTTCCGCTGCAGTCCCACAGTCTACACCTTGCCATCTACACTACTGTGGTAAGAAAATTCACATAATTCAACAGAGATCGCCCATGTACTGTATAATTTTTATACAGTGGAGTCGCATCTTACATGGGGGTTAGGTTCTAAAGTCAGCGTGTAAGGTGAAAATCGCATATAGTCAAAATTACCCTTGAAAATCCCTTAAATCACCCTTCAGGCCGGGCTTTGGCGCCGAGCAGCTGCCACAGGGCCCATACAAGGTGTGCAGTGCAACAGCTGTGCCTACTATGGGGCGGCGGCGGACAACCTGCCGCTGCTGCTCTGCATGTCCTTGCCGCTGTCGAGCGTCTTCCACATGCACTCCTCGCCCCTCTTGTCCTCTGCTGCCTCGTTCTGCCAGGGCAGCCAGCTGCACATGAGCAAGCTGCCGCCCCCCAGCCATGCTGGCGTGTGCAGGCAGTACCACACAGCGCCGCACTATGCGCCATGCCCTGGCTGGCACCTGGCAGCCAGCCCCAGCAGCCGAGTGCGTATAGTTGAATTTGCATAAGTTAGATGCATGTATGATGCGACTCCACTGTAATGTAAAAACACAATTTATTTTCCATAGGAAAGGAAGATTTCTGGAAGAAAGTTCTCAGAAAAGGTAAAGAAGCCAACCTGCCCCTGCCCCCCCCCCCAAAAAACCCAACCGAAAACCAACAACCCCAACAAAACTAACCAACCAAACAAAAACCCTACCTAAACAAGATGAACTAAGTAAGGATGTGCAAGACCAAAAATATAAGTTAGCAATTGACTATTAGTCCATTTGATCTACAATGCCATATCTAACTAAACTGGATCAATCTACATACCTAGCATTTCAACTGTTTTTTTAATTGAAGAATCATAATTTCCTCATAAAGTCTGTTGCTGGCACACCTACTCTTTAGTGGTGATCTGCGGACCAAAATAATAAGTGTATCTATAATCTGTAAACTAGGTTGGAATCCTAAAGCAAGGAAAATAAGCTGTGCAAGTCTACATAACTATAACTATACTACAAAATATAAAATGGGTATAGATCTAAAGAATACATAATTACTTTTTGGTTTTAACAATACATGTATTTCGTAGAACATATCTGTATATATAACCACATCAGTATTTCTTAATAAACTGGAAGACAATCTGTTTTCCAAGGCCTTTGTGGATCTTTCATGACTGAAAAAAAACAAGTCCAAAATGATCTTCCAGGGAAGGAAATTCTTTCAGAAGGTTTGAAAACAGTTTATTCTTTTTTTTCTCCTTCATCTTTAGTTTCCTTCAGCATTTCTTGCCAGTTCTTCTCCATCTCTTCTTTGCAATTCAGGAAGGCATCTTCGAGTCGTCTCATAGAGCTGGCCAAATCTGGGTTTGTACGCATTACCACCATATCGTAAGCCATCCAGGTTGCCTGCACTGCAACAAGTATTAGGAAGCTAGCAACATTAGGATGGACGCCAGCAACATTAAGATAAAAGAGAAACAATGGATGATTCAGGTAAGCATAATGGGAAATAATGTTTCCCAGTTCTGAACAGCACACTCAGCTCAACACTTGCCAGTAATCCTCTATCAACAAATCAGTCAAATCAGTATACATATCAACAAATCAGTATACATATCCCAAGCTTTCCTTATCAATCCCACAATAACAATTCAATGTGCACAGCTTAAATACTCTCAGGCAACCCATGGTAATCAAGTAGTGAGTACAATCTTACAGTAATAAGCAGTCCCACATCTGTCACTAATACTACAGTTAACCAAAGCAAACTGTCCATTACCTTAAGAGCAGTCATACCATAGTAAGCAATTCATGCACACCAGTGCTATTCAGCATGTCAACAAAACCTTATAGGTACAAACCATCTCAAAATATTTTAGAATGAAATGTCCCTAAGACAAAGCCAAATAAAAGCAGAGAGAGAAATAAATCAGGAGGCAGATACAAAGCAGACAAGATTTTAAGTCAACATTTACAGTAAGATGGACTGTCAATGAAAGAGAAGGTTGTTAACATGGCAAACGTTGGAAAGAAGACTTTTGCATGAACAGTGGCAGTAGGAGAGGAAGCTGGTGCTAGATGAGGTGAGAGGGGTGTAGACAAGACAGTGAGAAGTTGCAGCAAATTCACAGAAAGTTTTAAAAACAAGTCAGCTGCAAAATGGATTCTGAAATAAATATCTAACAAAGCTAGGCTAATAATTCTTGACAAGTTTTCTGTTTGCAAATTATCCATGTAAAGATTGTGATTTTCTCAAATTCATGCATTATTTAAAATGGGTTAAAGAATAACTTAATGTGTAGTTTAGGTTAATTAATTCTTCCTCTGCGCATTGTGATCAGTGGTGATGTGAGACTGAGACTAGAAAACTGCCTGTCTAGATAAACCTCAGAAACGGATTTCTGATGCAAACACATTTACAAATTTGGAATGTACCCTTCACAAATACTATTCACATAAATTTAAGTCTGAAACTTTTAAAATTCACTTTAAATTGCTGATTCTGCAAACATCCTTTCTAGTAATTTCATTTATTGGAATATCTACAGAAATGAAAACAGTGGATGCAAACATCCACCGAGCAAATTTGATAATAAATGCAAGAGTATATTGTGAAAAATTATTCAGTATTTCTTTAGCTCTAGTAGTCAAAAGAATTTGACAAGGGAGTGAGGATGATGTGATTATGTTTTCTGTGGGTATGAGAAAATAGAGCATTCTGTTTTAAAAATGAAAATTCTGTATGTAATTTAGGGAGGTTTTATAGTAACTAACAAAACAATATATGCAGTCTTATGCTCAATAACAGGACAGTCCTGATAACAAATCAGAATTTCCAACCTTATACAGTAATGACTTTATTAATATACCTGTACGGTACTCATATATGATTACAGTTTCATAGTTTCTAGGGTTGGAAGGGACCTGAGTAGATCATCTAGTCCGACCCCCTGCCATGGCAGGAATACAATTATGTGTAATACAATTATACAATTATGAAACATGTACATGCAATTAGGATGGAAAAACACATCCCAGTAAGCAATTATACTTCTGTTTGAGGAACCTTGTATAACTCTAAATGGTTACTTTATACTGGCTTGGCAAAGTTCCTAATGAGCTCAGTCTTAGCTTTCTTAGCAAAATATAGAAGCCATCTGATTACCCAGTTTGAAACCATTTGTACTATATTAACATAAAGTTTACGTCATAAGAGATGCAAACATTGAGTTTGATCCCTGAATGGGAGGGAGGCATCTGCTCACTGTTTGCTATTCTGTGCCTGATAAGCAATTTAAACAACTAGCATTTCCCAGATCAAGGCAGGCATAGGAGAGCATCTTATCTGTGATGAAGCTTAAAAGCTTTAGATTAAACAGTCTGAAGAGGCAGCAATAGGAATATCTTTGTATGAATGCAAAGAAAGGGATCACAAAAATAGTGGAAAAATCTAGCTAGATCCCTGCTCCAAAACGCATACAAAATTTAGATTAAAATCACAGAGAAGTCTTTTTTCCCAGTTGGATAATCAGTCATTTGATATTTGTCATTTTCCCAGAAGCACATCCACTATTTTCCAAAGCTGAGTCTCATTTTTTAAAATATTCTGATAATGTTTTTATCTCTGTAAATTCCTTTGTATTATCTCTGTTCTCACTAGTAGCTCTTTTCAATTTAACATCATCTGCAAATTTCATTTTTGAGCCATTTATGCCTTCCAGATTACTTATGAAGATAGATACCTGTTGTTCTAGGCATTTATAATACACACATCACTAAACTCCACATATCTGAGTACTCCAGATATTTGAGATTGAATCTGGTTGGTGGAGACCAGCACTATTTAAGCTACCATGGTCATTAGGGGACCTCATTCTGTCTCCATTTAAATTTCTACTATATGAAGTTTAGAGATCTCTGAATTAACTTATTATTATGTATGTGTACTTGTGAAATATCTTCATCTTCTAGTAGCAAACTCTATATCCTCCCAAGAAAACCAACCACACCTGATAGTTTCTCCATTTCTTCCAGCAGTTTTTCTAAGTCCCTGTTCAGGTCCTCCAGCATCTTTACCATATTATCGCAGTTTCTTTCTTGAGGTTCATATTTGGCCATCTACAAGAAAAACCAGAGCATACTACTTTGTCCCAATGTGAGGTGTGTGGGAAAATAATACCTTTTTCATGTTTATGGGAAAACTTTAGAAAATGTATCCCTAAAAAGAGCTGTCAAACTAAGTAGGCTACATTATAAATTAAATATAGTACAGTAATTTAGGGCTCAGGCTCAGTAGATGCAGAGGTTTTTTGGGTTGTATTGCCTTTTCACTTTGCAATCAATACAAGTTGTGGGCACTAACTTTAACTGTCTGCAGGATCAAGTCCATGCTCTTAGTGAACATTAAAGTTCACTTTACCAGATCATACCACTAAGAGATACTACCTAAGTGTTTGCTTTACTGGATCAAATTCCTTACTCACTTATTCTTGCAATGGCCAATTAATAATTCTTCACATAAGAATTCTTCTCCACCAAACAACTCTAGTGACATATTTCATATTTGTTTGATGAAAGGTATCTTTATACCACACTCAGGCACTTGTCTAAATGACCTGATTTTTAGAGGTGCTCAACAGTTCATTAACCATGGCTGAAGTTGTGGGAGTTGAGCTCCTCTCAAAATTGGGCTACTTACTTAGGCAACAAGGTAACAAGCACAGAAGTTTAATATATTAATGCTAGTCAATTAGTTTGATTTCCTGCTGTGAAAGGTGCAAGGGGAGAATTCAAAAAACTATTAATAGTACCTAGTTCTTATTGTAAAAGTGTCTCTTTTAAACTTCTCAGTTAGATTTATTGGGCACATTTTTCTGGCTTTTATTTTTAATAAGTTCTGAAAACAGAACAGTAAATTTTTATCACTTAATTGAAAGCATTTTAAAAGGACTGGTTGTTGAGCTAAAGCTAAGGCCTAACAGTAACAAACACTCATCCTGAATTTCATGAGACCGGAGGGGTGCTGAAAGATGCTTGATCTCAAACTCCTGCTCCTATGTAAGACAACGTAGTCTGGGTAAATGTGATATCTAGGGCTGCGCTGATAGAGATTTTGAGGGCTGATACCAATAGCCAATTTTTAAGGAGGCATATTAGCTGATACCGATCTGATTTCTTATACAGCTGCGTCCAGCTGTTAAGTCTGTTGTGGTGGAAGGGGAAGGGAGAGGGAAGGGATGTGCGGGGGGGGGGAAGATCAATGCCCCTTGCGGTGAGGGATGGAGTGGGGCAGGGGCAGATGCTGCCCAGCTGGGTGGGACAGGGTGCAGGATGGAGCCGTGGCTTGTCTGGAGGGTGTGGGGTGGGGTGGCAGCTGCAGCCTGCCCACCCCACGCAGATCTGGGGGCACATGGCTGTGCCCCGGCTGGACAGCACCTGCCCCACTCCCTCCCTCACCTTGGGGGGTGTTGATCTGCCCCCCACGCCCCTTCCCCCTCCCCTTTCACCACAACAGACTTACCAGCTGCACACAGCTCTCCACACTGCTGGGCTGTGGTCCTTGGTGCCTGCGTGCTGTGCTGGGGCTGCACGCATGCACACAAATTTATCAGCCACATTATTGGCTACATTGGGCCAATCTCTGATACAGCCGATTTTCTTTATATTGGTGCCGATGCAATATCAAACCAATGGATCGGTGCACCTCTAATGATATCTTTTATTAGACCAACTCAAGACTTAGAAAAATTGTTCTTTGCAAGCTGTGGGTACAAACACCCTTGTTCAGGTGCAGAGCGAGCCTGTTGATATACTGAAGAAGGGTGCTTGTGCCCAGAAGCTGGCAAAGAACAATTTTTCCAACTCTTGAGTTGATCTAATAAAAGATATCACATTCCCCCAAACAACCTTCTATGCCTATGTCCTTAGACCAACACAGCTACAACCAACAAC